GGCGGGGGCCTTCATCCCCTTCCCGCGGCTCTGCAAATGCCCCTCCCGCCCCCGCTCCTGGCCTGCGCGGGCTCTCCATCATAGCCCCATCTCAATCCCTCGCCCGGCTCTGCGATATCTCCAATACCGCCCTCCTCGTCAGCCCGGTTTCATCAGAACAGCCCTTCCCCGCCTCCACCTGATTTACAGTTATTAATCCAACGCGCTGTTGATTTACAGACTGGATCTGGCTTACATGAGACTAACGTGATTGACTGGTTGGCTGAATTACGCATTGATTTCTGAAAACGATTAGTTCCCAGCATTGATTAATTGATTCATTGGCTAATGCCTGTTGCTCGCTGTGGAATCTCTCGATTGAATCGTGGCCTGTTGAGGCGAATTTCTCCTCTTTCGCGGAACCGGTTGGGAATCTCGCTTTCTTTTGCACGGACACAAAAACAACAACCGTTGTAATTGTTTTAAAAAGATTGAAACGGCATGTTGCGGTCCGATGCGAGTTGTTTGCTCAGAAAATATTAAACTGTTTTCTGTGAACACTTCGTAAATGCTTTTTAGGAAATCGGTAAATGCTTTTCTTTTCGTGTTTTTCTGTCTACAGTTGAGCACGTTAGAAAAACTCGCAACAGGCCAATAGATTTGATGTTCAAATACTGTGTACTACAATTCAAACAGTTTTTCTCCTACTATAGTAGAATTTATGAAACCTGTGGTTAACTTCTTTTCATCCTCCAACATGAAAAGTAAAGCGTTTATTATTGAATCACATTGAGAATAATAACACGTATCAGGCATTTTAGAGGACACGTTTTACTATTTTTGATCGTTTACGCATGATGTGATTTTTGCTTCCTGTACCTTTTTGTATTATATCTTACGTTCTTTTACCATGATTTCTCTTTAGCATGTAATTACACTGGCATGTACGGAAAACGCGTAGGTACAATCTTTATGACCTTTACGTTAATCAATATCAACAAAATATTATAACACATAATTGTCACTGTAACATTGACAATTCATTAATGAATTCATTTGAGTTCTCTACTTGTGACCCTTCAGTAATTGCTTCAGTATTTTCGAGTGATTAACCCTAAGGAACGTAAGATATCTCAATACAATCCAACTTAAGCGAGCATAAAGCGTGCAAATCTTGTATTACTTTACTCTCTTGATATGCGTGTAGCTTCTAAGATCTCATACCTTTTATAAATAAATCGCAAATATTTATTAATGCCATTCAGACCAACTGCCAAATTCCCTCCGTCTTCCCACGACAATAAATATTTTCGAATATTTTCTAATTAATTTCTATAAATGTATACCCTCTACATTGAACTTCCCTCAACTTGTTTGCCTATTTGAACGTTCAAGTATCATTGTTCACTTATTGACATCTTTCCTCGTTGTTTCATTAACGAATTGTGTGCAGTGACTTAACGACAAATTGTGGGAGAGGAGCTTCAGGGGTGCCTTTGTTTTATCCAGAAGCCTGTGACCAAAATTTCACAATTAAAGTTATTTAGTAGTTATTAGTAATTTACAAAGTAAAATTAAAATAGTTTACTTATATAAAATAACAATAAATATGTTATCATTACTACGAAAAAGTAATAAATGAGCAATTTATATTAATGACAAGTTATAAGATATCATGTAGGACAATATATTGATTATAACATAATTATTTTGTACATTGGCACACTTAGTACTCGTTTTTATACAAAATAGCTACAAGAAAGTGCTGAAATAAGTATGAAAGTGTGAAATAAAGGAAGTCCCCGTATACTTTTATTTACTGTCAAATTTTAATAGATTTCTTTCTAGTTATTATTGATGGAATTCTATATTACTAACTAAATACTAATAATAATGTTATACTATATTTCAAGGAACAGAAACATAACTTTTCTGATTTTATTTGACATTAAATCATGTTTGAATAATTAACAGGTGCGATGCTAAAACAGCACGCACTTTCTCGCACGCAAAACTACGTGAAGGTACTCAAATTTTGGAAACATTCTACATAACCTTCTTTCAAAATCTACCTATAAGGAACAGATTTCATTAAGGGTAAAAGTCGCCATATTTAATATTTTATTTATCGGAGACTCCAACACAATTTTAAACGTTTCGTATTTTTGAAAAATCAAGGTTTTCAACGAGCATGAAACTTGCACCATTCTCTTAAACGTCCCTTACATTATCCAACAACAAAATTTAATCAAAAACGACGGAGACTTTTTTGAAAATTTTAAAAATGTTACAGGGGTTTTATGTAAATTACCCCCAAAATTAAAATATCTGTTTCAAATTCACGGGACATCGACATCAGATAATTCAGTTGAGGAATATCAGTTTTGGATAAAACGGTTAAACAAGCTATACGTTTTAGCCGTTAGCGTTGTTCACAGACGAACAGACGTTTCGACGTCATTCGATTTTTTGGTACGAAGGATCCACAAAACGTGAACTCTGGCTACACCACGTGATAGAGGACTTTTTCGTTATTAGGGTCCCGTAATAAGAGTTTTTCTGCCGAAAGTTTGCCATTTTTGTGCACAGCATTTCCTAAAATTCTCTCTACTCCATACCGAGGAAGTAAAAGTATGTAATATATTTTCGAAGGCGCTTGTTATTTCTTCGTAGGAAATTATTTGAAACGTACTACAATTTCTTGCATCTGTACTGAAATAAATTGATAGTTCGTTACATGGTTTTTTACATTATTTTACCGGCATATTCATTTGCATTGTAAAATTGATCCAATATTAAATACTATATGCAATATCACGTCAAGTGTAATAGACAAAAAATACATTGAATTTTATGTAGTGAATTTGATTACTCCTCTCCGCCACAATTACTCAGGTTCGTCGAACAGTAACAACGTATTTCATTTTGAATTAATAATTCGAAAAATCTTCACAGAGCAGTACTATAAGAAATGTCTAGTTATTATTGTGATTATATTACTTTCAGCTTACGAATGCATGTAAATGTTACGCAATTACTCAGAGTCATTCACGTAAATTTGGAGATTCTGAATGTAGGTAATGCAGAATATGTTGTTTTTTCATCCAACATGCTATTAAAATTCGTTTATACCACAAAAGTGAGGACATTTAATAACTGGGAGGAATAGTAATTCTGAAAAATACATACAGTAAATATTAGTGGTTTATTTCATTCGTATTGAAATTTTCTCTAAAATGAAACTAATAGGAGCGCTTCGAAGCTCAAGTTGTATAACACAATTTTTTTATTAGGTTTATAATCGTTCTTATCAACTGGCTTTCTTTAACAGTAAAAAAGCCGGAGTGGTGCGTTACTTGACCAATAGTGAAGGAAGGTAAATAAGTTTCTGCTGTCATCAGAACCATGCGTCTGTAGAGGTAAAGGGATGAAGTTGGGAATTACACAATTTTATCTGTATCTAGTTTGTTTTCTACGTTCGCTGTGAATATTCCAGCGGTACCAAACGAGTGAAATTTTCACAATTATTTTTAGACTGTTTCTGATTACATGCCATTTCTCAAGTTGTCCTACAAGTCGGGCTCTAAAATTGACGTCACTCTCTGTCGCTAAAATAGCACAAAAATGTTGTAGAGGTGACAACTGCTCGTTGCAGAAAAAAAGGGGTGCTAACATACGTTTTCGCATTACTTGTAACGGTTACAAAATATAAAATACTACTTGTACTTATAAAAGTTTTCCAACCAACAACATGTTTTCCACGCTGGAATTCCAACTGAGGATCGTAGATTTCTGTTGCCAACAAAAATTATGCAAGTGTAAAATTTATTAAATAAAAATGTAACATAACATAAAATCAATAATGTAACTTTTAAGTATAGTATGTAACAAAAATTACCTAACTTGAGAAGTAGCCCACGATTCTATTTTTTGTTTGAGATTAGGTGTGCTATTTTATTGTCTCCAAACTCTTTTATTCGTGGATTTAAAACTTCGATTTCTTGTTTTCTGCACTGTCGGTATAATGTTTATTTAATTTGGGATTTTTGTAGAACTTTTCTACATATTCTAAAAAATATGTTTAAAATATGTATAGGGTTGGTAACTGCATTTCAGATTTTGTTGTCAATCATACCTGTGCGTATCACAAGTAGTGAATCTCCATTTTGGCCCTTATACCAACGGGCATAATTATCAGATTTCGCCACTGAATGGAAATTACTATATTGTTATTGATAAGTAACAATTATGCAAATACAGAGTTGCTAACTCCATTTAGGCTCTTGTACCAAGTCTATTATTGCACAAAATTATGAGTATGAGAATATTAATCAGCCCGGTCTTAAAGAAAACGGATCACTGAATGTAAAATCCAATGTTAGTATCGGAGAACAAACGTTATATAAATAATTCCTTTTCCTGTTTTCTCATATACTTTACCTGTTCACATCACAAGTTGTGTAACTTCATTTAGGCCCATATACCAAGTCTATAACTGGCAAATTTTATCATAATTGTCAATATGAGTTACAGGTTTGTTCTAACTCTTATTGACAATACTCATTAAATTTGTCCTTAAATACATAGGTGTAAAAAATATCAACATAAAATGGTACTGCTGAAATTTCTATAACACCACTTGTAAAGCATTCAATATCTCGGGGCAAGAAAAATATGAAATACACCTTTTGGGCTGCAAGAGGCTCATAAATTTAGAAACTTCAGTTAAGTTGTAAATCGCGATCTTGCACTCATGTTACAATCTTGTTTTTGTTTTTTTCAGATGTGCCGATTGTAACTCTGGAATTGGGAACCAACCTAAATGCTAGCAACATCAGGGAAGGCGTCGACGTCTACTTCGAATGCAATATCAAGTCCAATCCTTGGGTCTACAAAGTCAGCTGGCGACACAACGTGAGTAAGCTTGCTGTCGTAGGAAAGCGCCTTCATCCTGCCCTCGTTCCTTTGCTGACGTCACCGGCGAGCGGGTGTCTGCGGCAGGTGCCTCCTCGCTCGCTCCTCCCCCTCCAGCGACTCTTACGTCTTCCACATTCCTTCCTAAAGCCAGAAAATAACCTTCAGAGAGCCGGTCTGGATAACCGAGGTCGCAGAAGGCCGAAGGGCTGTAGCTGCCTTCGGGTTCGAATCCCGCCCCGGGCATGGATGTTTGTATGTGTTCCCCCACCGTTACTCCCAAAGTTGAAAGTTACAGTGATTGAACGTGTCGCTCATATGACCGAGCAATTGAAAAGCGACCTTAAAAAATCTTCAGAGATTTTTGACATTTTTATGATAAAACCATTTGCTATTACAGAGAAAATGCCCACTGTTCGATTAATGAATGCAGTCATGTTTAGATGAATGTAACTATAGTCGTACTTTCTAAATTCTGTAAACTGTTGAATTAGTCGATTGAAATAATTCAAAGCGAAATATATTATTTTAGTATTATTAATAAGAACATGCATTGGGTTAGACTGTTAAAAGTGACGAGGACAATGGTGATGAAATTGGGGTAAGAACGATATTATAAAACCAGCAAATACTTAAAGTATAGTCTTCTAATTGTATTAATTAGTTTGCAGCTCGGTTCTATTACATAAAACACATTAAACTCATTTCGCAATTAATCAATTCGTAGCCTTTACTGATATACAAATACGTAATAAATTTATATAATTTTAATACACTTAATTTAAAAGATACTAGTTTACGTAACAATTCCACACATGCTTGAGTTCTCATTCCTTTATTTTCATATTTATAATGCAATTTGATGCGCTTTCATAAGATGGCTATGCTCTACCATTTCCACTCTTTATATTCTCAAAGCTGACCTACCATCTAAAAGCCTTCACACATATGAGCAATAGTCTATAAACATTAGAACAAACATATCCAAAGGCTTGAAGAGTTCGTTCACAACACACGGTTGGACAACAAGAGGTAACACCGAGAAACCTTCCAACCGTCCCCCCGCCAAAGCAAATATTCAATCACGACTGAAAAAATATTTTTTCAGTAGATTATGATACTACGTTTCCTTGCCTTTTCTGGCCTCACTACCCCTTCAATCATTGACACGTGCATCTATAAACCAAAATAAATAGGATATCAAGCGCAAACACAAATACACACAGAGACGCATAATATGAAGGATATTCTCGCTGATCCCACCAAAAATACTAATGTTAGCAGATAGCCATGGGCGACAAATCAAGCCCTTACTCAGTGGAAAACTCCCATCCAACTTGTGTGCTTGGCGTGTGTTTCACCCTGACAATATTTAAAACGTGACCTGTGAGTTGGACACAAAAAACTCTTATCAAATGGGACACAGTCATCATCACAAGAGGACAGAATTACAATAACTTGGGCAGTCATTTCACATCAGACCAACATGACAAACTTTAACGGTTTCCCAAAACACGAACATTATAGTGTCGACTTTGCCCCTCTGATGCAACATACAAACACTGTGCAAAGAAATAAGACTCGCATACAAACAATTTAAACTGCATCTGAAATGCCCAAATGTTAAACTTGTTACTGGCTGTCAAAAAGGAAAATAATATTTTTTTTATCAATAATATTTAATGAATTAGCTAACACTTGTACGGTGTAAGGTCAAAACTAAATATGACTGTAAGAAATAATATACTTTACCTTCTGGATCAATGACCCCCATCTCGAACAGGTTTTTCGTGCACTTTCTCTGATCCATTTAGCAAATGCTGCGACTGCTCTTTATTTTGATTCTAGACCTAAATGGATCTTCACTATGCGCACGTTTTGTTGAGCTATCCGTCGGATATTTGTGTTAGAAGTAGAGCCAGGAGTGTTCGCTATTTTCTTCGGAATTCTATAAAAGTTTGTGTCTTATAACCTGGGAGCGAAACTTTATAGTTTTCAAATGTTGTTAACCTAGCTTTGTTAGTACTTTTATTCATGATTAACCTATATGTAATAAAAGTGTTAATGATATTATGGAGCTCAAGAGAATGTGTGCAGTATTTACTTCTTTCACATACGTTACATATAGTTTTCAATGTTTTTTGACGTAAATCAAAACAACACCCATATATTACTATGTAACTCTCTGCTGTTGTCTGTGTTGTGTTATATGCTATTTCTATTAAATATCATTTAGATCAATGTTATCGTGAAGTGGATATCCACAGCAAATAAAACTAATTGATAGGTGTATATTCATTTTGAGCCTTACAAATTTCAGACTTCTGTAATTGTTTCTGTTCGGTGTCGTCATTTATACAGAGTGTGTCAAAACTCAGACGCAGAACTTCGGGAATGGACTCGGTCGAAAGATGTACAAAACTGAATACTGTACAATCAAAAATATATCGCGTAGGACATACTGTCCGACAAGGTGACCAACGCTTCTTCTATTTTCTATCAAAGAGTCCAATCGTGAAGTTTTGTTAGTTTTGTTACACTTAATGTATAAGTTCAGTGTGATATTACTTTGAGTGCATCATCTGCAGATTTAACTCGTTCCCGCCATTACAGGGAACTTACTTTCCACAGGGAAAGTCGCTGAACAGCAACACCAGTGCTGGAGCCATCGTTAGCAACCAGAGTCTGGTGCTCCAATCAGTAACACGTAGTCGCACTGGGATTTATACCTGCGTGGGATCCAACCACGAGGGAGATGGAGAAAGCAATCCAGTGTTCTTGGACGTCAAATGTAAGTATTGTTTCTTGTTGGATGTGTTTTTACCGTTATCCCTTCGTTTCCTTTTGCTGTTATTTGCTATTTGTTAACTCCGTAGTGTACCTTTGTGAGAAAATATCGTAAACCTAATTTATTGCAGCAAGATTGAATTAATTTCATCAGTGTAAAAATTAAAATATTTGACACAAACAGTACAGAATGGTGTCAATATGTTTTACGACTGGTTCTAGTATATCACAGTTCTAGTTTTTACGTAACTACGTTGTGGTATGATCGAAACTAATTTTAGTAAATTTAATTTTGTTGAATTTCAAACCTTAAATTCCTTTTGGATATCTGTAAGTTAACAATTGATCATTCAAATTACAAATAATCTTGCATTGGCGTCAGTAATGAAAAGTTAACGATGAAAACGCCGAAAAGGATTCGTGCATGAATGTGCGATACATATATGCGATACGCATGTACGATAAAAATAATACAGCACACTCGGGAATTGATTCTATTCTAATTCATAACGCAAACATGTTTTGTGCACTTCTTTAAATTAAAATAATATATCCAGAACATTTTATAATGTCAAATGAGTTTTGGTTGGTCCTCCGACGGCTCAATATTATAACGCAAAATAACTGCAAACCATGAGAGTAGAACGAAGATAGTATATCATGATAAGTAAGCATTTAAACGCTTTTAGTGGAATGTATGTAAGTGTAATACACCCTTGCAAACAGATTGCTTACAATGCAGTGAGTTCAATTACAAACAATAAAAACTCAAAGTCTTGTGAATTCTATAGGAACACATACATGTTGCCACAATTTTCAGAAACAATTATTCTGCAAATACAAGCATACCAGTTGTCCTGTTCACCAATCCATCTCTTACTTGAAAATGTACGTCGTGTGCACCACAAGTACCAAAACGTTTCTCATTGACTGTGTTTTGTTATAGTTGCTAAAAACAGCGTCTTACTGCGAGATAATCTATGTAAAAACTTTGTCAATTTTGCTCGTTAATTTGGTGATAAAGCTTCACGTGCAATTGTAATTTATTCACATACTTAATACAGAACATAACCAATTGTTTCATTCAATTTAAATACACGTCAATTGACAGAAATATGACATTAGTTTTAATTACCAGAGATATATGCAAAATTTCTGCAGTTGTTGTGATACATGAAATTGTAGTCGTGGCAAACTGCTGTTTTGGGAGAGAATTTCTCCTAGTTCTTATGATTACCGCCTCTGTTGTTCCGAGAAACGGACGACTTAACACCTTAAAATAGTCTTCATCGCGGAACCGCGGAGTAAGCAGAGATGATAAAACAAAGCGGTAAAATCATGGCTCATCAGTGCTACTCGGTCTAATAACTGTTGAACCATTTAAGGAATTTACTTTGCAAGATAAATTACATGATCTGCGGCGGGGGGAGGCTATAAACGCTCTTTGAAGTTACTTGCAAATCAATGTGGTGAACGTTAACAAGATAAGGTATAATTGGAATTTACTTCCTTTGAACCATTGATTACAATTCAAGCAAGCTAGCCTTATTTTTTAAAATTGAATTAACAGTCCCACTTGAAGTGTCCATTGAATATATGCATCAATCAGTCCGTACTAAATGCTAATGAAATCGGTTGACGTTCTCGCACTTTTAACAACTGTCCATCCTCATGAGCTCCCGCCCATGTGTCCGCGCGCCCACCCGCACTCTCGATCGCTCGTCCGCACGCCCAGCCCCTCGCCTGTGCACATGCCCACCCATGTCTACGCATCCGCGTCAACGCTCGCGCGTGCCCACTCACGCTCGCCCATGCCCGCCCTCGTGTGCCGTCATCTTCGCCCGCCCCCGGTGTTCCCGTTCACCACCTCCCCCGGTTCCTCCTCAACACCCTGCGACACACCGTTGCCTAACTCGGCGGCGCGCGGCTCAACGCCACTTCGCGGACCGCCCCCGCTCAGCCGCGCGCCCTCTCCCCGCCCCGTCGCAGCTCGCCCTTGCCGAGCCCCACAGCATCCCGCAATTTGAATAATTAAACAGACCCCCTTCTCTCTGCTCAGCTCGCCACGGCTGCCGCCGCCGTCCCCGCCACCACTGCCACTGCCGCCGCCGCCGCCAACGCCACTGCCACTGCCACCGCCACCGCCACCGCCACCGCCACCGCCTCCACCGCCGCCGCCGCCGCGTCACGCCAACGCAACAAGCTTTGTTTTTGATGAATGAATATAATGTCCTCGAGGGCCGCAGCCGAAACAAGAGAAATGCACCGACACAAATAATGGCGGAATTTTCTCCACGATATCCGTATTCATAAGTCTTAGAGGAGGCCGCCCTTCGGCAAGAACGACGTCGCATTTACACCACAAGCAGCGACAAAACAAGAGTATTAACTGCTAATGGAAACATATTGCGCGATTACGCTCGCCGAAGAGGAGGCAAGCCGACCGCTTCGGAGACTGCTGCAGCGCGCGCGGCCGGGAACAGGAGGCCTGTGCGAGGGAAGGATTGCAGGCGACGCGAAGTCGTTTTACTTTTAATAGGGGCTCAGCATTTTTGTCTTTTATATTGTAATGTTTTTAATGCAGCGACTTTCTTCCACTGATAACGTATCTCTTGAATGCTTTGATAAACTACCGTATCCCTCAGCTTTGCCACATATTTGTATACATTACATATTAACGATACGTATGCGAGGTAAACAGCGTGTTCGGGTTTCTGTACCGACTGAGTTTAGTCCTGAGCCAGCATTGCCGCTGGCTGCGGCTACTTTGAACGGGGAGTCCTAGGGTTTGCGCCCCGACGAAGGAGGATTTTCGAATCTAGCTTGATATCGAAGTCGACATGTACATGCACTACACAACCACACATGCCGGGAGCTTAGAGATTGTTTGTTCTGAGGAAGTGCCTCGCTCGGGGAGGTACCTGGTTGGGGAAAAGACCGCTAGCCGAGGGTAGGTCGGCGCCGGATCTCGCCGTACAGCGGGGGAAAATGTCACCGCGACCTCCCGAGCAAATCACACGCATTACAATTACGAGACTAATGATCCTAGTAGTTCACGTGCCCGGAATCACTAAACAATTAATCAATTAATTATTGCCAAAACGCTGGTTTTCACTTGTATACTTAATTTAGCTTGTATATGGCTTAGGATAGAGATCCAACATTTAAGAAAAATTGCACAGAATACACTTCTCTCCATAGTTCGTCACATTGACTTTACTGTTTTTGTTGTTAAATGAGTGAAAAATCTCTGTTACGTACTAATTGCATGGCTTTTAAATATTTTTTCAGAATTTCTCTTAGTTATCAATTGATAAATATGATCTGGTGTGTGTAATGTTCTAGTGAATTGGCGAAAATTAAAAATCTATTAAACTCGTAAAATACAGTTTGCTTAAAACCTAAGGTGTATTAACACAAAATATTTGTGACGTAAAATGAAGTGATTCAGATTTATTCCTCGAGTAATCTAACAATCAATTGAAAACTAATGAGATTTCGATCGAGGTCGTCTGCAAATACGAGACATTGTCGGGGAGCGGATGACAGTGCAGCGACCACAATCGGCCACTGGGTACCTCACTAACGCACTCAATGAGCAATCGTCGCTCTGCGGTCTTGAGAGGGCAGTGAGGGGTCGGCGCTGGAATGCGGCAGGGGCGCGGAGCTATAGAGCGGTCACAGAACATGGCAGGCGCTGGGCCAGGGATGCTGCCCGGAGAGGGTTCAAGGAGGGCGGTCCTCGTAGATGGGGGCGTGCCATTCACAGGCAAGCCAGGCTTGACTAGACTAGTTCTCGGCGCACTGGTTGCAAAACAGTTGCGATCTGTTATGCGAACGATGAAGCAGGGAGCAACGGCGACAGTTTTATTACTGGTACTTCGAAGATTCGTCAACTCTTACTTGACCTATTTATTTGAGCTCCTATGGTAGTATATTTGTTAGACCGACCACGGTGAAGTACCATCGAATAGACTTTAATTGAAAGTAATCTCTGTTCTTGAAGATGGTAAGAAAGAATTTGCCCTTACCTGTCTAATTTTTAATGAAATAAGTTTAAATTAATACAGGCTATGTTGCAAAAACTTTCGCAAGCATAGTGTTTTTTAAGTTATTGAAAAAGTTATGTAGTGGAAGTACCTGTTTCTTTTAAAATTCCGAAAATGTTATACAACCCACAACCACAACGATTTTACAATAATCCACTTTCAGTGTGGACTAATACTCAACGGAGAAAGAAATAAAAAAAATACAAATACAAATAAATATTTAAATGCTCCGTTTACGTTTACAAGTAGTTATTGCAAACCTATTAATGTAATAAATGGTTGAACGTTTGAATAGCGACTGGTACGAACATACCACCTTAAAGCCATGTGTGGCCACAAAATTGCGACTCATGCATTGCCCATGGTCAATTGATGACCGCCTCATCAGGACTACAATTACAAGGGGGAGGCAGCATTTCTAGGTAGCAAGTATTACACCTCTTCAAGATGAGAATTGTTGCAGGATTTAATATTAGGAGGTCATTGCTAGAGATAGTTTACATACCAAAAGTGCGTTGGGGCAACTGAAAATTTTCCTTACCTTTGAAATCCACTAAGTTCAACTGCGAGCAAACTCGAGAACTTGGGCAGAGAAACTAGTGAGAAAGCGCTACTATACAGAGGGTTGAAGCGATTAGGTGAGCGGGGAGGGGGCAGACAGTCGGCGTAATGCTCATGGAACGTTTGCCTAATGGGCTGAAGTAGTGCCGACGCTAGCACACTGGTTGCCGTTATGCATGCGCGTGAGTGGCAGCAACGGCTAATCCCCGGGCTAGGAAGCTGTGCAAGTGTTACGCAACTGACGGTAGGCAATTTTGGATAATGCTTTAGCGTTTCTGTCTTTTCAAAAAATATTATCTGTGAACAACCATCACCACCAACAAGACGTTTAATTCTTCTCGATCTACTTGTTTCATCCTTGGTAATAAATTTATTTTTAGTAAAATTTTAATAAAAATTAAAGCTATTGCTTTTATATAGTTAAGAAAAGTGCTACTCAAATGTATTTAAAAATCTTTTTTAGCTAAGAGAAATACATATTCCATGTTCACTGACAGTAATTTATATACCTCTCAAAAAGTTAATCTACAGCTTTAGGAATACGAAGAACAGTTTGAAGTCTACTTTGGGTGAATACATTTTTGAGACAGCTGAGTCTTCGCTGACAACTCACGTCACGCATACTTCGCCCAAAGAAACGCGCCCAGAATGTACTTCACTGCTATGCGTCAAACAAAGTTTTTTACGATAAATAAATTAATAAATAAATACTCAAATGGATAGATAGATAGAGAGAGAGGGGGGTAGAGGGATAGACAGATAATAGGTAAATAGATAGATAAATATTGAAACAAGCGAATATCCCATTGAGAACCGAGTCATCTTCTTGACCTACTGGCTGCCGATCTCGAGATTCTCGAGCGGGAGCCGTTCGCGTCCGCAGGTCGGCGGCCGAGTCGCCTCGTCTCGCAGGCCTCACTGGGCCGTCGCCGGAGCGGCTCTGGACAGCGGTTGGGCCTCAGCGCCAGGGCGGTCGCGGCGCAGACCGCGCGGGGACCGGGGCGGGGCGGGAGCCGTGACGGTGGCGCGGCCGTAGGGCGCAGGCTGAGCGGTGGCGCGGGTGGGGGCGGGGACTGGGCGACACAAAGGCGGCCCAGCGGAGGAGTGGCGGCGGCGGCGGCGTCGCGGGCCACCGCAAGAGGACGCCGCGGTCGCGGGTTGACCCTCGGTCTCGACACACCGGACGGGAAGAGAGAGGAAGGAGATAATGTGCGCTCCAATGTAGGGGAATGAAGCTCGGGGTACACTTCGTATTTCCAGCCAATTGTGTTTGTTCAAGTTGTAATATATTCTGTGTGTAAATGTTTGTTTTTTTTATTGAGAAACGAAAAACAAACATTAAGTTACTATACATCAAGGTAGCTAAAACATACAAATATACTGATTGACGTGTTTTAAAACATTAATTTCTCCACTTCTATGCTCACTTGCCTTCCCTATGACCTCCAACTATTCCGCCTTTTTTTTAGGAGTATCCTAAAAAAATCGAAGGTTGGAAATATTCACTATATTTTACAACGTACATATCTCTTCTTATTTTTATGAGATTTAAACTTTTGATTAGAAAGACAATTTGTACTTCCTACATAATTTTTACGGTCTGGTTTTATAATAATTGTATATTTAAAATACAATCTTGCCGACATGGATGGCCGAGATGGCCAAGATCATGTACCGACTCAGCGCTTCCGTCCGTAGGGTCGCGAATTCGAGTCCCGCCTTTGGCATGGTTGTTTGTCCCTTGTCTCGTGTATACACTATGTACTCGCGGAGGACCTCACGTTCGTCTGACCACAGATCACAAGAGCCCTAAAGTGTGTTGGTGTATAGTGTATGGTTGAATATACGTCTCATCGGGACGTAAAGGGTAACCGGCTGTCTGCTGGATAAAAGCCACAGAAAGAAAAAAATATTTAAAATTATCTAAATAATGTGTTAATTACCTTGCTTTTTATTGCGCTTGGACAAGACACAATCGACCAGAATGGACACTCAACATGGAATCAATAAATGAAGCATACTACATATTTTGGTACAAAATTCTTACAACCTGATCACAGTGTTGCTGGAGGCTTTCTCCAACGACCCAATACTTAAAGCAGCCATGACACGATTTTTGCGAGTTTCAGTCCTCATTAGGTTTGTGTTTCATGCTTAAGTTACTGGTAATTGTATTCTGCTTCCAAAACGATTGGTGACAAACCGTGCAGAGCAGGTTAAACGAAAAAACCGGAATCCTTTCTTGGTAACGCATACTGTGATGAAGTCGAGCAGACATTGCAATGGAAGCTACTGTTTTGGCCAGTCCTCTTTAAAAGCTTCTTAAAATACTTTCCTTAATAATTTCTCTAATCGTCCGTTCACAAACTCTTCTTGAGTTACCAGTTTATTAATTTCTTTAATATTCAGATTTATATTTATTCAACGACAAAAATAATTTAAAATACGGTATATGTCGCATGAGTTGTAAGTGCAATATTCTCACATTTTCTTGAGCTGTGGAATCCCTACCTCCTGTCTTTTACTATACTTACTTTAATTACAAAAAAGAAAAAACGAACCCTTTTTGCAACATTAGACAAAAATAAATATTTTTTCTTTGGTG